CCCCCCCCAGCGTCGGTCAGTCAGTACTACTAAGCCCCCTCCCCCACCTTCCCTTTACCTCCAGCAGCTGTGCTCCACTGCTGCTGGGTTAAAGAAAGTTCAGTCAATGTAAAAAAAACCTTCCTGCGCGCACACGGGCTCAGGAAGGTACCAAGTGCACAGGGGGGGCCGGGACCTTAAAAACTAAACTACACTACACTGCAAATGTATTAATTGGTTATATTTAGTGAATGGTTCAGCAAATAGTGTTTCTATTTGAATGATGACCTACATTACAACAGAATTTTTTTAAGTTGTGTGCATGACATGTGCTTAATATGTCTTCCTATATTAGATTGCAGTAAAGCAGGGAGGAATCCTTCAGATGATTGTGTATGATAAGAATCAACCGTCTCAGACCACCCAGTCTGTTAAGACATCAGTGCCAGGAACCGCCACTGCAGTCTGGGCTGGCAGAAGATCCCTGGGAGAGTATACCTTGGTACCTAGGTCAGCAGAACCGGAAAGGCAAAGTGAAGAAACCTCTACAGTGATAATGGTAATTACAAAATGATGTTAATTCATGTTGTTCTATTTATGAAGAGGTCACAAGGGCATTCGCCCTGCGAATGTTTGAGCATTCGTTCTGTGCGAATATATGCCAAAACAAATGTTCTTTTACGCTTTTTACAAGCCGCCGTCTAGTATCCATAATGTAGTATTATATTGGGGGGAAAAACCGAAAGAACGTTAGTTTTGGCATATATCTGCACAGAACGAACATTTACAGATATTTGCCCTGCGAATTGTTTATGAATAGAATGTTTACAGTGGCTTCATGTAAAATATGTAGCTTAAAATTTAAATTGCTATTTATTTCCTACACATAAGCACAATATTCTTATTTACTTAAAAATGGAGTGGGGTTCACTGTGTATTGTGTTTGGCCTGGGTTGCATAAGTGTGAAGTTATTCAGGTTTCTGCAAGGATGCAAAATAGGAAAAAGGTGGAAAACTGATTTTTTGAAGTTCAGCTTTCAAACCACATTGGTTTTATCTCCGAAGAAAGCAAGTCAAAAACATCCAGGACATGGTGGCGATATTTTTCCTCTAAAAAAAAATAAAAATAATATCCTTTAACCGCCTCGCGGCCGGCTGTTGTAAAAAAATGGGCTTGCTAGATCTGAGCGGGCGTATTTAAACAACCCGTCAGCCACGCCCACTTGCGCATGCCGCGAGCGGGAACCTGCGGATCGCTTGTATAAGCTGTCGGTGTGTGAGCCCAGCCCCCCCTTCCGCTGGTCCCAGGCTCCGCTGTTCCCGCCGGTGCGAGCATGGTGGCTCTGTGACGGGATCAGAGGGAGGTCGGTACACGAGCTCCCTCCATCCCCTCTCAGGTGTCAGAATGCGCAAGTGATGTATATTACATCACGTCCGCATTCTGCTGTCACTTATCAGTGATGATATATTTATACATGTTGCCTCTAAACTAATTTCCAAACGAAATAAGGCCAGATTTACTAACCTTTTCATCACATGTGTGCTTTCCCATCACCTTCAGTAGTTTGGTTAACTTTGTACTCTCTCCAAATTCTGGATTCCCTACTTAGACTATAGTATCCAAAACGTGATATAAGGGCAGTGCACTACTTGAATCAACTTTTTATGTTGTCATTACCTTTATATTCCCTAAGATCTTATTTGTGTATCAAACACAAATAAGATCTTGGGGAATATAAGCTAATGACAATGTCTGGTATTAGGTGAAGTATGTCTGGTATTAGGTGAAGCTTTTTAGCTTACTGTTCGCTGGCATTCCCAAGTCCTTCTCTGCATCTCTTTTTCCCCACTGTAGTCTATTCAATGTACAGGGACTTCTGCATTAGCTAGGCCTGAGCACTGTGACATGACTTGGGGGGTGATGTCACCACTGATGTCACCACTGACCTAAATGGTCAAGGTGACAGGGTCTCTTTAGTGTTTGGACACTAGGGATGCACTGATACCAGTAACAATATGAGCCTCTGGAGACATCAGGCCGGTACCCCGGAGCAGCACAAAGTATGCTTCATATTATTCTGCATTGCTGTATAATGTATTGCTGGGATTTGTAGTCCTGTATAGCCGGTATCTATGAAGCAAATAAAGAATACTATCGCTCTGTTTCTGAGTAAAGATAATTTTCATATCTCTTGAGTTGGATCTGTGACCACCTGATCCATTGAGATAATATGGCTAGTGTAGGCTAACACTAGAAGTTTGGCTTTGACCCTGGGGTGGGTTTGAAGAGGCTTAATGCAACGCTGTGAATCCCACAACCCAAGTACATAGTCCGTGATGGACTATAATCTCAATACAAACTAGTAAACTAAATGCGAGATTGTAGTCCATCGCGGGAGTGAGCTTGGAGTGGCTACTTTACAACACACACAGGGACCATCGGGAACAAAAGTAGCCCCCCTCCAGGAGGAAGGACAGTGTCAGCACCAATTCAGAGATGATTTGAGGATACACAAATAAACCACATTTTTGCTACCAGTTAATTGAATGCATTTTTAAGATTTAACCCCTGAGTTTGGTGTCACTTTAAGTTACTGGTTGGTCATTGCCTGTGCCCTCCTGGAGCAGATATTTGTCACCCTCATCAGTCAGGTGGGAGTGCAGTGCTAATAAATGTAGGTTAACAAATATATCTTGTATTAATCTGGCCCTTAAAGTTACATAGTTACATAGTATTTGAGGTTGAATAAAGACATTAGTCCATCAAGTCCAACCTATTAGGATCTCATTCTAGGAGTACCTGTACCCCTGTATATTACGGTCCTTTAAGAAATTGTCCAAAAGTTTCTTGAACAATTCCACATTATTTGCTGAAATCACCGCCTGTGGCAGTGAGTTCCAGACCCTAACTGATCTTACTATGAAGAACCCCCTTCGCCCCTTGTGCTGGAATTTTTTTTCCACCAATTTTAGGTGATGGCCTCTAGTTCAAAAGTGACATTAAACTGATTACAGTAAGGCACATATTACAGTATTGTTTTATGTTAAAAAATCTGAGGGTTTAATGTCACTTTAATCAGCCAATTCCTGCTGGAACCACCCGACTCCATAAAAATCAAGTCAGGTGGTAAATTTTCGGCCAATCAGATGCAGTCACTGTTTGGGTAATTAGACAGCCGCAGGTGCTGACTGTCTGAATACAATAGCCAGCAATACAAAAGCCAGCAGAGAAGATTCCTCCATCCGTGCTGTGAATGGAAATAAGGAATCGATTGATTTTCTTTGTTTATCCCCACAGGGCTGAACAAGAGAAATGTAGACGTGTACGACTAACTTTATTTAGCTGTCTCATACAACTTTATCCAAATTTTTCAAATGTATTGGCTCCTATGCAGGTCCACACACCTTTCCATTTGTCTCCAGTTCTCTTTACATTCAGATTGTAAGATATGTGTAGCCAGTCCTCCTGTAAAAATAAGTATTTTGGTTTTACAGGAACAGAGCACAGCCACTGTGGATGTTGGACCCTCTCAGTTTCCCCCGGAATGGTTCATCAGATACATGGACAGAGTAAGCGATACAAAGGTTGATTTTTATTTGAATAGTGATGATGTCAGCACACAGATTTGTAATTTTTTTTTTTTTTTTTTACATTAATCATTTGGAAAGGTTACATGATGTGTACTTTTCCATGAGCTAAAAATAAAGACCTAGCCCTGCGTGCTTGTCACAAGGCATGCATGCTTCATATTCCACCATGGAATGCAGTATTTTCAGTGTACAGGAGAGCAGAGCCGACCCAGCTGTAAGTAGTGTGTGTATAAAGTCACTCGCACTCCAATAGAATTTCAAGGCAAAAGCGGTTTATTGACTCGATTGCTATCACATTGCTTTATATTGCCATATAATGTGATAGCAATCGAGTCAGTAAACCGTTTTTGACTTGAAATTCTATTGGAGTGCGAGTGACTTTATACATATACTTATCTTGGATTGCAGAGGCATCTGCAGTCACTTTGGCACTCACCCGAATCTAAGGGTATTATTCGGTCAGGAGTGCGATGGGTACACTGGATTCCAGCTGTAAGTAGATATTTGAGGAACGTCACCAGCACACCAGATTTGATTTGTAATAGTTTAACCCATGCACAAGGGTGACCTACTTACAGCTGGAACAAAAAAGGAAGATACTTGCTGCACTCCCTACCAGGATTCCCATATAGATATCCAAACGGGTGCTCGAAATAACCGCTGATGGCGCCGCCACATGTAGATATTTGAGGAGCGTCACCAGCACACCAGATTATTTACTGCATCAAATGTTCATTTATTGTCGTCTGCCGTCTCTTGGTTGCAAGCACTTTCGGGGCCACGCAGGGTCTCCTTCATCAGGCTCAGAGAAGGCAGAACACAGATAACCAAACAACATTTATATAGACATACCAACATTTCACGATTAGTATGCCTATGGATGCATTTAAAGTTCTTTAAGGAGACATGGAACAGATAGGAAAAGTTGATATCGACATGAAAGCATAAACAACACATGACCTTTGGATAATGTTGTAAAGAGCAAGGTGACCTAGAAGTGGAGGAAATTATGTCTATATGAATGTTGTTTGGTTATCTGTGTACTGTCTTCTCTGAGCCTGATGAAGGGCAACCTGCGTGACCCCGAAAGCGCTTGCAACCAAGAGACGGCAGACGACAATAAATGAACATTTGATGCAGTAAATAATCTGGTGTGCTGGTGACCGTTCCTCAAATATCTACATGTGGCGGCGCCTTTCGCGGTTATTTCGAGCGCCCGCTTGCATATCTATATGGGAATCCTGGTAAGCAGTGCAGCAAGTATCTTCCTTTTTTGTTCCAGCTGTAAGTAGGTCACCCTTGTGCATGGGTTAAACTAGTACAAATCAAAGGAAAGTTTTCTTGTGGGCAGCTTGTAATCCACCGGGCATAAAAGGGCCACTTTTCACAAGGATAACTCTTCTTCTATTTTAGGTGGGCGACCCAGCAGCATGGTTAAGACGTACTCCAGGATTATTTTTTTTGTTAACCCTTGAGGTGAAGCTACCCCGCACTGTAATGGTTAAGTGCTTGTTTTTGTCCAGGTGCTAAAATAATAAAGATATACTCATCCCCCTCCCTGCAGCATTGTAATCTTCTTCAGCGTCCTCACATCTATACACAGTGTATAGACGTTTTTGATTTACAGGACCTTTTAAACCGCTGCAGAGGAGGGGGAGAGACGTTGGGAGGGACCGGTCTAAGAAGAAGCCAGCTCGGAGCTTTGGCTGGGTATAACTTTTGGTTTTTATTTAACCTAGACACAAACAACCAACCCCGCGCTGCAATGGTTAATTACAAAATTTTTCCGGGAGTTCTTCTGTAAAGGGCTCCAGATAAAATAAATCCAATTGTATGTTTATGGTTCTTACATTGAAGGAAAAGATGTCTGTGTTTTATGGTACGATTGGTTTTTAGCCTATGGATGCATTTAATGTTCTTTAGGAAGACAGGGAACAGATAGGAAAAGTTGACATCGACATGAAAGCATAAACAACACATGACCTTTGGATAATGTTGTAAAGAGCAAAGTGACCTAGAAGTGGAGGAAATCATGTCTCCCTGCTGGATTTCTCAGCTGAAAGCAGACCCGTCATTCAAAATGATTCACGTTTAAAGCACATACTGGAAGCAGGCTCCCAGTTATCCAGCACCCATGTTGATGGGTAGGTGGCGGATAACTGTTGTTTCTGGTTGCTTGAGAGTTCCAATAAACCACACGTCCCGCCCCCCTCCTCGCGGCCCCACTCACCTGCCAGCTAGCTTCTGCAGCCGACAGGTGACTGTAAGCAGCCGGAAGCAGGAGCCACACTGCTATTGACTGTTTCAAATTGCAATAGTCAATAGCAGGCTGGTTATTGAAACCCTGCCACTGAGCAGAGGAGCGGACCTGAGAGAGAAATTTCCCTCTCAGGTACGCTCCACTGTCTGCTCAGTGCCAGCCTGCTATTGCAATTTGAAATAGCTAATAGCTGGCTGGCTATTTCTCCCCATTGTTTACATTCTGCTGCCGACTGCGCAATCTAGCCGCCTACCAGCAGCAAAATGTAAACAAAAAATTTAGTTAGCAATTAAATAATTGTAGTTGCTAACTAAATTTTTTTAGTGTGCACCAAGCAACTGACAATTTTTTGTTATGTGCATCAAGCCACAAGCTTCCTTATGCCGGTTGCTTGGATGCCGGATAATGGGCAGTTTACTGTATTTAGTTTCAAATTTAGTATTCAAATACAATCAATGAAATACACTTCCAAAATATTGTATTTTTCTTATCATAATATGCCCTTCTTTGTTTGGACATCCTAGACCAGTGGTGGCTAACGTTTTTGAGCCCGAGTGGCCAAACTGCGACGCAAAATCAATTTATTTATCTCAAAGTGCCAACACTTAAAATAAGTCTGGTATTGAATTTTAGTTTGGGCAGTGAGGTTTAAAAAACATTCAGCATCACTGCCTTCGGCAGTATAGGGAAACACACATATTATAACATTTGAACATTTAATTTTTTCATTATTTGTTATTTTTTACTTTTGTATCCCTTTTTTAACTTTTATCTTCATATTTTACTTTTTTTTAATATATTTTTTATTATTTTTTACTGTGTATCACTTTTTTTTCATTATTTCTTATTGTTTACGTATTGTTTTCAAATACATTTTTTTGTAAAACTTTTTTTTCACTTTATTGCAATCACTCGGGATCTAACAAGCCCGTGTGATCGCATTTGGAGGTGATAGGTTCTCTTTATTGAACCTGTTACTCCTAAAACAGGAGTTTTAGCACAGCATTGTGCTTGCTCTCCTGTGACAGCTGAGATGGGATGGCTGTGAGTGCAGCGAGCCTGTCTCAGTGTTTCCCACTGTCCATCCTGAACTTTGCCGTGGTCCCCCAGAAAAACAAGGGACCCCAAAAATCAGGGAGGGGAGGGAGGTGGCCTGTGGGGAGAGAGGCAGCCAGAGGTGGGGGGCTATGCAGGGCAGGGGGGCAACCAGCAGGCTTATTACAAGTGATCTTGGGGGTATCGCCAGGATCACTTGTACTAAAACACGGCTTCCCTGCTGGACATTTTAGCCTTGTTTCCCTGAAGCAGGGCTAAATGTAGAAAAAAAGCGTAGACACATGCATGGACACATGCAGTTCCGGTGCCCGGAACTGCATGTGTCGGGCGATAGGAAGTTGACACCTCTGCCTAAGCTCGCATGCCCTCTCTGGCACACGTGCCATAGGTTCGCCATGGCTGTCCCAGAACATGGTGTGGGTCTAGATTTAGATTTTTGTAGTTACAACTTGACGTGGTTGTTCTATGTTTTTCTCTTTGTTAGTATCATGTGACTTCAATAATATCTCTAATCATTGAGATTGAAAGGAACCCGTTGAAGTAGTTTGGCCATATGATATCATTCACATATTGTATCCACTTGGAGACTGTTGTCTGAGCGTTTCCAGGTGCGTCTAATGGTACGAGGCCTCAGAACAAACCTAAAACACATTGGAAGGTTTAAGTCACACCTCAGAAATCACATATTTATTTACTGGTTTATCCTGCCAGTAGATCCATTGTGTTTCCACTGCCTGTAATAGAATGACAAGGCTGTTTGTGCTGCAAGAACATTGCACAGCAGTATTGTCACCTTGTGGACAGAGTAGTCTTAGATGGAAGTGTCACTTAAAATCTGCTTTGTTAATGCCATCATCAGACCTCAACACATGTCATTATCAATGTTTGCCGATAGATTCCTAAAGCTGAAGTTTAATCTGCTTATATTTTTATTTTGCCTTCTCTGGTTCTTCCATGCCCCCTCATCAACAGGCTAATCATATTTTTAAATAAAACCTTTCTGTTTTTATATATATAATTGTAGACACAGTAAGGTCTTCAGTGGTTCTCTGTGCTCCTCTATGCAATGCAGGCAGATCACAGCTGGCGGGAGGGGCCAGAAGGGTGCCGCAAATATATTTCTGGAAACCTCACAGCACCCTGCCAAAGTACCGCTCTCAAGACCACACCCCCTCCCCTTTGTCCTCCTGCTAGCAGTGGGCTGGCTCTTGGGAGCAGTTATGCAAATATCAAAATGCTTTAATGGGATGTTGTCAGTCTGGAGGAGCGGGTGGCCCTAGGCAGACTACATTTGCATGCACTGGGTAAGGCCCACATATGATGATCAGTCATGGGGGTAATGGAATCCAGTGAATAAAAGAGACAGGCCAGGCACCATTAGACTGGGGAAGAAAGAGCTCGGCATCCTCAAGTCAGGGAATGAGGTGGGCTCAGTCTGACTTGCTGCAGCTTGTAATATGCACTGTGAGAAGTTCACATTGTGCAGTGAAATCAGAATAAGCAATTTCAGGACATAAGCGAGGCAGGTACAACGGTGCAGGAGTGAACGCAAGGCTGAAGATTAGCTTTAAAGTCTAGTCAGGCTAAGAGAATTCTGGGTTGCATCCTCAGTCCACTTCCCCATATTTTCCACTTCCACAGCGTTTTCAGGATGTGTGAGTGACGGTGAGATGTAAGAAAGCATTTATTAGAAAAAAAGAGCACCCAATTGTCTACCATTATAGTTTGCCTAAAACAAGAGCAGGCAGCAGGGAAGAGGTCCGCATAGTCAGTAGTGTTGTAGATTACAATATAGTTGTAGTAGCAATAATAATAATGGCCATAAAGATATTTTATACTGTGGCAAAATTATTTAATGCTTTTGCACACACTTACTCTCTTACCCTAATACAAACTTTTTAAAACATTTTTTTTTTTTGAACTACAAACCTTACCTTATCTGTTGAGGAGTAACTTGGGACTTTTTGTCTGCATCAGGCGTACAGAGTTAATTTCAGTCTGTAGCAGAAGTTCAGATCCTGAGGTCTGACTTCAACCCTTCTATACTGGAAACTTTAGTTTTCCTAACAGCCTCCCTAATGGGGCCCCCCTCCTTCCCCAGCCCCATAGCAGTTATATGGGCTGCTATGGTTTCTGTTATGCCACTTGTTTCGTAGAGTATTTTTCTTCCAACTTCATAATTCTTGTATTTTATGTAAGGCAAGCTGAAAAAGATCCTTTCTTCACTGGTATGATTTTAGAAAAATTGGGCAGTGACCAAATGAAGCAACAGTACAGAGATGCTCTATAGCAGGGGTGCCCATTAGGTAGATCGTAATAGCTCTCAAAGCTGATACTGGTAGATCACGAAGGGTGTGAATGGTGGCCCATTCACACCCTTCGACAGAGGAGAGACAGCCAGGAAAGAGAGAGGGGAGAGAGCAAAGAGAGACAGCAAAGAGAGAGAGCGAGGGAGGTTTTTTTTTTTCGTTGGTAGATCTCATGCAGCTCGTCATTTGCAAAGTAGATCTCAACACAAACTCATAATTATTGACAATTTTAACTCCTTTCTGCAGGATCATGCATGTAGCTTGGCTAGATCCTGTATATGCAGTATGAGGCTACATAGGTAAACCACAGACCTGTGCCTGACTATTATGTCTGGGAATGCCAGGTTGTAGCAAATAGTGACTAATTTGATTCATGTTCATTAATCACGAGTGTTCTTTTTTTCAGCTGAAATTAAAATACTTTAAAATATTGCTTTAGTGAAATATTTAACATGTTTTAACTTTCTCCTTCTATCCAGTTCAAGGAGCAAATCATACATGAAACAGTAGTCAAGGTAACAGAAGTAATGAAGGACAGGCCGTCACAGAGCCTGGACTGGATGTCAGACAGCAGTTCCTCTTCAGCTCCAGAACCAGAGCAGACAAGTTCTCTGGGTTCTCTGTATGACTGGCTTTTGGCCTGTAGTAATTGCAAAAAGCGGATACTGGGCATACGTTACCAGTGTAGGTAAGAACAGTCATTTGTGTAACATGGTTAGTGAGTAGAAGGGATCATCCTTCCAGCAGATTATATGGAACAGTGCCTTCCATATAGTGTGAATACACTTAGTTTATATTAAAGTGTATGTATAGCCAACACTTTTTTCAGTTTTAGATGAGAAGGGTTAGAACTAGGGATGCACCATTATCGATATATACTTTTCTGTATCGAGTACGGCACCTCGGCACCGATACTAGTATTGGTATCGGTGTATCCCTAGTTAGAACTCTTGTCAAGTTTGTATTGTTGTCCCTACTTCTGAGTCTTCACCGGAGTGTCACTATTTGTCCTGGTGACCATTGTCACTGAAACAAAAAAAAAATGTTGCAATTGTCAAGAAGTGAGGGTAAATCTTTCAATGAGCACACCTGTTCCGGTGACAGCTGAATTCTCCTCACTTTAGAGATACTTCCTCTACCACTTCCTGTTGCATCTCCATCCAGGAGAGGATGTGAAAGGAAATTTCTCCAATGGAGTGCAGATGTAAAAACAATTTAAAACACGGAATTTTACCATTCCAAAACAAAAAAAGAGCTGGTTTTGCACTATAATCTTTGTTTTGTTAGATTTATGGAGATTTCTGTTACCATCCACATACAGACATCATTGGTTTTTTTTGAGTTAAATAAATAAATATATTAATGTTACCATTTACTCCTTAACAGCACTTGCCCATCATTCAGCATCTGTGAACCCTGTGAGGCTGGCGGATGTGACCATGATCCCAACCACCTGTTTTTAAAAATGAGGAGACCATTGGAACCCAGTGCAGAAGAACCGCATCCTCCTCTTACCTTCTGCATGGATCATGTCAAGTATGTCAAGTTTGTCTTTTGACTAGTTTAACAATGCAGTTAGGTGTTCACGTGCAGTCGGTATAAAATCATTTTCTGTCACAGATTACAGAAACAAATGCACAAGACATTCCTGAAAGCAGAGAAGCAACGCCTGCGAGCAGAGAAAAGACAGCGCAAAGCAGAGATGAAGGAGTTGGAGAAGCAACTGAAACTCCATCGTAGTGTCCATCGTTGGCATTCCTTAGACTCCCCAAACCCACCAGCAGAGGACTCTCCAAACAATCCTCTTGTGTAAGAACTAAACTGGCTCTTTAGTGATATATTTCCTGTTTAGACAATAACTTGCCTAATACTGTATACTGAAAGTCCTTATTGATCACAGTGATCAGTCTTTTCAAAACTGACATTTCTGATTTGTGGTATTGCTGAAACACATGCAGGCTTCTCTGACAGTACATCTCAAGGACTCACCTCAGTAGGAAGAAATACAAAGCCAATTAAAGATGTCACTCACTGGCAATGCATTGTTCTTTAAGCAGAATAAACAAAAATAGAAGTAATGATAGTCATGGCCTTGAAGGGGCTTCACCCGTATATGGGAGCACTATTAGACTGGGTTTTTTTTTTAAAAATGACACACTTGTATAAACTCATTATAGATAGGTACCCATTATTTTCTCTGAAAAATGTCAGAGTGTCCACATTTTTGCATAGTTATAATTAAAGCGACAGATTAACTTTTATTGAAGTTTACTAAAAAGTGAAGTTGCCCTTTAGACTTAACGTGTGAGTAAATAAAAAACTGAGCTATTGGCAGAAAGTTTCAAGCAGCATGAGCCATGTGCTTTACCTCTCATCTCAGAAATGCCCATAGCCTCCCAACGTTGATACCTAAAGAGTAACTTTGTACTAAATATTTACCTTTCTGGATCCCATACATTTTTTACACTTCATAGTAGGTCTGAGAACTAGCCAGCTCATCTTCCACATATTCCTAGTTGACCATCACTCTGATGGCCAGTCTTTCTGCCCAATAAGAGCAAAGGAGAAAGGGTGAGCCAACTTGTATTATTTCCAGGAAGTGCAGAAACTGTTATGTTACATCAGTCTGGGATACACCCAAGATGCTCGAGGGGTCATTTTACTACCTTTGTGCTACTGACAGGTTTATTTTAATCTTCCTTTTTGTAGAATTCCCATGGAACCTTGCCCCCAATTCATCCCTACACTTAGTGCTGTGTTTGTGGATGAGAATTTGCCTGATGGGACTCATCTGCAGCCTGGAACCAGGTTCATCAAACACTGGAGGATGAGGAACACCGGGAATGTGAAATGGAACATGGACACAAAGGTAAAATGCATTTCCCATCTGTTAGCATTATTCTGAAAGAAAGATTTCCTGTGTGAGTTATTGCAGCCCCAGAAAGTAAAGGGGATAAGGGTAGGCCCATACACAGCACACATAGCACTGAGCATGCAGGGCTCACCAAAGATATAACATACACAGCAGCAAAGTCAAGTACGTATTCCAGCTTTTTTTTAAATAAATTCTTTATGGCTATTTCAATATTATAGAAAAACAAACAATACAGATAATAGTCGTACAGATCATACACAAGGCATTTCAGGAAAGTTCCCAAAGATTAGACAGGGAACATGGGATAAGCACCTAGCAAAGTCAATCTCATGTCATTTCAATGATAGCGTGTAATTCCAGCTTTTTTAACTAGGTGCTTTGGGCTCAAATGTTTTATCTTAGTGACAGGTTCACCTTAATTGGTTGTCTGCTAACAAATGTATATACATTGACCATCTTGTAGGACATCCAGACCACCCATCCCCCTGTACTGGTGGTATACAGATAATAAATATGTACATCAATCGCAAGACCATTTACTGTATATATTGTTTTCTTTTCCTGTCTTTGGACTTTTCCCAAGTTAAGGGTGCCACCGTTGTCCGACACTTTCCGGTGTCAGAGCGTTCCCTGCTGTGCTGTGGATTCACCTGCTGACTGATTTGTCATGCAGTTGGTGGATGAAACCACAGAGCGCAGCGGGTGACCTACTGTCTAAAGCTGGCTACACACCTATAGATGTTCTATGGTCAGATGGAAAAAGTGCAACAGATTCCTCCATCTACGCTAAACTGTGTGGCTAGAGGAATCTCCCGCTGGGCCAAGCTTCAGTATCTTGCTAGTCGCCCCCGCTGCAGAAAGTAAGAGAAAAAAATCCCTACAAAGGAAGGGGATTCCTCTCTTAGGCAGCTGTTACTTGGACTGGTATATCCATTGAAAGATTTATCCGCACCCAACTCATCCAAATTCTGGTCTGATCCTTCTCTGCTGTGTCTCAGAATAAATTGGGTTTCCATACTCTTTAATATGCTGTGTAAGCATTACCGTGTTTCTGTGAAATTCTGGAGGACATGACCGATGGCTTGATGTTCCAACTACTTGCCTGGAAATCTTTTCCTGTCAAAACATAATAAAAAACGTCTTTAAGACATGCAAACTAGATGTTATTCTTGCATGGCTAAACAAGATGAATAAGCCAATTATACAGTTTTATATTTAGGATTTTATTGGTTGCCATAGTTCAAAATTGCCCATAGATTTATTTATTTTTTGCCATAAATATACAGTCTCATTAAACATCTCCCCCTTAATATCATTATTTCATACAAATCATAATGCTCTGGCCTACCCAATAGCTTTATACGCCTGTCAGCTGTTTTGTTACTCATGACCTCATTTGTGCATTCCTCCTTCTCCAGTTAAATTTCATGTGGGGGAATCTGACATTAGCATCCTCATCCCGAAAAGATGCTCCTGTACCATCCTTGCTTCCTGGTCAAGTGGGTGTTCTGTCAGTTGAATTCGTAGCACCAGCACTGGAGGGAACCTACACCTCACACTGGAGGCTTGCACATAAGTGCGAACAGTTTGGACCTCGGATCTGGTGTAGCATCACAGTGGATTCTCTTCCTTGTACTGATAACCTTGATGATCTGGAGAAAGAGATATCTTCCATCAAGATCAGTAGACCGAAAGATCAGGAAGAGGTGAGTGCAGGAAGCACTCCATGAGGATGGAGATGCAGTGGTTATCTGATTTAAAATGTGATATTTATTGGAATGTGATGCCAGTATAATGTTTATAATATTTAATCATTTGATCCTATATAATTATTTGTAATGGGCAGGAGGAATACAGTGCTCCCCAGATCACAGGATGTCCAGATAACGAGTCCCTAACCACAACTTCCAGTCACTTGAGCAGCACACACGGTGACAGGGAAATATACATCCCTTCTGTTGATCTTCTTACTGCTCAGGTAAGCTTCATATTTGTTATTTACATTTTATTTTCTGGTGTACATAAAATATCACAATATTCTTACCCCTCCTTATTGTAACTTACATTGGTCCACTCTGATTTACTCTTTTCTTCCTATTGCTTACATTTGCTCAGTGCTCATAATAAATCACTGAGGTAGTACATTGAGGAAAACAGTAAGGGGACATTTATCAAATCTGGAGCCATTGCCCATAGTAACCAATCAGCTTCTCTCTTTAATTTTCAAAGCTTAACTGAACAAACTGATGAGAGAAGCTGATTGGTTGCAATGGGTGACTGCTCCAGATTCCGGCTGCTCCAGTTTTGATCAATTCTCCTCAGTATATTTACTATTTTGTCATGTTTCAACACGTTGCATCGGTGAGGGTAAATGGAGGAAACAATTAGAAATAATAGCTTTGGTCACAGAAATAAACTGCATTAAAGAGGAAGGGTAGGAGTGTGAAAGGCCACAAAAACGTACAAATATCTGGGGGAAAATCGCCCTATGGATTTCACGTGAGCAGAAGCTGACAGGGTCATATGACCAGCAGCAGCAGCTCTAAGTTGTATCTTGTAATGTCAGGATATTATGACTGTATGAACTTTCCTGAAGACTGCAGATGCATGCCATTAGTTCACTTCCAATGCAGACATGCCTTTTTCTGCTAAGTGCTTTTTTCTTGCTTTTTATACTCCTGTCCACCTCCTAAAATTTGGGAAACTAAAACTAACTTTAAAAGGTTCAATTTTTAAGGGCTGATTCACACCAAATATGTTGGGGCTGCGCTGGCTGTTTTTTACAGGGCAGCCCCAATGCAAGACCAGACAATTTGCATGGTCACAGATGGGCAGTGGACAGCAGACCACAATGCAGTACAAGCGCATTGCACCGTGCTGTGCCCATAGAACTTAATAACATTTCATTAAAGTTATAGCCAAAAAAAAAATACAGTGCATTGCATCGGGATCAACACTGTGACTGCTAACACACATGTTGTAGTGCAGCTGCTGGTGGGAATCCAGCCTAAATCTGCCTGATTCACCATATGGTCTGCATAGCACAACCTGTTTATATATGGTCCTCTTATCACCATCCCAGATCACATTTGCTGAGGCCTCTGTTGAATGCCCCTTCCTTGGAAGTTAGATTTTTTTCAGAGAGAACATGTTGTGCTGGTCAGCAGAGAGGCACTGTGGTCTAGCAGTCAAGGGTTCAATCCCTATAAGTAACTGCCATTCTCAAACTCTCAGCTTTTGTTTTTAGCAATTTATTATGGACCATTAGGAATATGTGTGTCCTACAGACTTGTTTTCAAATCATACCCCATCCATCTGTCTCTCAGTGGGAGGGTGCATTGGACTTGTAACAGACCTGTCACATGACTGACTGTGTTGGGACTACATTTCCCATCATCCTTGTTCATGTCAGCATATAATGTGATACCTAAATGCTTGTATTAAACTCACAAAACAGTTTTAAGTGCCAAATCATTTTTATTCAGGAAATTTGAGCAGAAAACATTCTCTGAAATCTTTTTTTAATCTTCAGTTGTGCTTTTAACTGATTTTGTGGGGATAACTACATTGGGTATCCATTAGCCTTTGGTGTAATGGCTTCAATATAAAATTGTCCCACTAACCATAAGTAGAGGACTCTTGAAGAATGAGTGTTGCACAGACATGGCCCATACGGGTAAAATGTACATGCTATGTAAATGAGTGAAATAAGTGTCTTCTGCCTTTTAAATAATTACATAGGGTGTCATATAAAAAGGGTTTCAAAGAAAAGCAACCGTTCAGATTGCTTAATTTAATTTAACTCTGAACTGGAAAACTGGCAGTAAGAAGCCGGTTCTGTGGGCAACAAAAAAACGTTTCCTTTTAGCACAATTTGTATGCATTAGGTCTACATTGAACGACATAGGTATGTGGTATCGTGACCTTCTAATGTGTTCAGTATAACGCACAACAGACATCTAGTGCAACATGACCAACGACCTTTGATCTAATGTACCTAACTCCAGGAACATTATACAAAAACACAGTACTAAAAGATAAGTGTGCACAGCAGATACTATATTAAATCTACTATGTTTGTGCTGCTAATGCTTTCTTATACTTGTGGCACAACCCGGCTGCCTCTTCACGATAAACAATAAAGTTTACATATATATCAATAACTTTGTAGCACTCCCAGTTATAAGAATAACCTTTCTAATTGCCCCTTTAATGTCTAATCCTTCGTAACCCACAGAGTGAATCACTGAACTATATCCCCATCCCCATCTCCAAACATCAGTGAGAAGCCCACTTCACAGAGAAATCTTCATATTTTCTTTTCAGATATCCAACTCCAGTGCACACACAATCCCTCCACCTCAAAGTGAAAACACACTCACCCTTTATATTACCATCTATCACTCCTGCATAACATAGTAGATTCTTCTGATTTATAAACTCCTTTTTCAATATAAAACCTTCCAGATTTCTCTTCGCCATTTATCATTCCCAGTAAAATATTAAATAAAATGTTGATGATACTTTCAATTTAATGAAAGCTTAAAACGGGTAGGTATCCCTGGTGGGGTGAAGATCCACCTGAGCATGAAGGAGGTCAAAGATCACCAGGGTGTAGTTTTTTTTTGTTTTTGTTTTTTTTTTCTTCTAAGGAGATAATCTAGCAAGGCCCCATTAATAAGTAAGGAAGATTTGAAAAAACTTAGACAATCCACTGTCTGGCCAAAAAAAGTCATACACTCTACTATTTTATTCGACTGCCTTTAGCTTTGACAAGGGCACGCATTCGCCGTGGCATCATTTCAATAGGCTTATGCAATGTCACAACATTTATTTCCGTCCAGAGTTGCATTCATTTTTTCACCAAAATCTTATAGTAATGATGGGAGAGTCGGACCACTGTGTAAAGTCTTCTCCAGCAATCCATGTGTGAAAATGATGTCTCATGCTCCATGAACCATTCTTTCACAATTTGAGCCCGATGAATCCTGGCATTGTCATCTTGGAATATGCCTGTGCCATCAGGAGTGTGTAACATACAGGGTGCAGGGGTCTGGAGAGTGTAACATGCAGGGTGCAGGGTCTGGAGAGTGTAACATACAGGGTGCAGGGCCTGGAGAGTGTGTAACATACAGGGTGCAGGGATCAGGAGTGTGTAACATACAGGGTGCAGGGGTCTGGAGAGGGTAACATGCAGGGTCTGGAGAGTGTAACATGCAGGGTGCAGGGGTCTGGAGAGGGTAACATGCAGGGTCTGGAGAGTGTAACATGCAGGGTGCAGGGGTCTGGAGAGGGTAACATGCAGGGTCTGGAGAGTGTAACATGCAGGGTGCAGGGGTCTGGAGAGGGTAACATGCAGGGTCTGGAGAGTGTAACATGCAGGGTGCAGGGGTCTGGAGAGGGTAACATGCAGGGTCTGGAGAGTGTAACATGCAGGGTGCAGGGGTCTGGAGAGGGTAACATGCAGGGTCTGGAGAGTGTAACATGCAGGGTGCAGGGGTCTGGAGAGGGTAACATGCAGGGTCTGGAGAGTGTAACATGCAGGGTGCAGGGGTCTGGAGAGGGTAACATGCAGGGTCTGGAGAGTGTAACATGCAGGGTGCAGGGGTCTGGAGAGGGTAACATGCAGGGTCTGGAGAGTGTAACATGCAGGGTGCAGGGGTCTGGAGAGGGTAACATGCAGGGTCTGGAGAGTGTAACATGCAGGGTGCAGGGGTCTGGAGAGGGTAACATGCAGGGTCTGGAGAGTGTAACATGCAGGGTGCAGGGGTCTGGAGAGGGTAACATGCAGGGTCTGGAGAGTGTAACATGCAGGGTGCAGGGGTCTGGAGAGGGTAACATGCAGGGTCTGGAGAGTGTAACATGCAGGGTGCAGGGGTCTGGAGAGGGTAACATGCAGGGTCTGGAGAGTGTAACATGCAGGGTGCAGGGGTCTGGAGAGGGTAACATGCAGGGTCTGGAGAGTGTAACATGCAGGGTGCAGGGGTCTGGAGAGGGTAACATGCAGGGTCTGGAGAGTGTAACATGCAGGGTGCAGGGGTCTGGAGAGGGTAACATGCAGGGTCTGGAGAGTGTAACATGCAGGGTGCAGGGGTCTGGAGAGGGTAACATGCAGGGTCTGGAGAGTGTAACATGCAGGGTGCAGGGGTCTGGAGAGGGTAACATGCAGGGTCTGGAGAGTGTAACATGCAGGGTGCAGGGGTCTGGAGAGGGTAACATGCAGGGTCTGGAGAGTGTAACATGCAGGGTGCAGGGGTCTGGAGAGGGTAACATGCAGGGTCTGGAGAGTGTAACATGCAGGGTGCAGGGGTCTGGAGAGGGTAACATGCAGGGTCTGGAGAGTGTAACATGCAGGGTGCAGGGGTCTGGAGAGGGTAACATGCAGGGTCTGGAGAGTGTAACATGCAGGGTGCAGGGGTCTGGAGAGGGTAACATGCAGGGTCTGGAGAGTGTAACATGCAGGGTGCAGGGGTCTGGAGAGGGTAACATGCAGGGTCTGGAGAGTGTAACATGCAGGGTGCAGGGGTCTGGAGAGGGTAACATGCAGGGTCTGGAGAGTGTAACATGCAGGGTGCAGGGGTCTGGAGAGGGTAACATGCAGGGTCTGGAGAGTGTAACATGCAGGGTGCAGGGGTCTGGAGAGGGTAACATGCAGGGTCTGGAGAGTGTAACATGCAGGGTGCAGGGGTCTGGAGAGGGTAACATGCAGGGTCTGGAGAGTGTAACATGCAGGGTGCAGGGGTCTGGAGAGGGTAACATGCAGGGTCTGGAGAGTGTAACATGCAGGGTGCAGGGGTCTGGAGAGGGTAACATGCAGGGTCTGGAGAGTGTAACATGCAGGGTGCAGGGGTCTGGAGTGTGTAACATACAGGGTGCAGGGATCAGCAGTGTGTAACATAAAGGGTGCAGGGTCTGGAGTGTGTAACGTAAAGGGTGCAAGTTTCAGTACAGATTAAAGGAGAACTATGAGGTGAGTGCTTTTCACTCACCTCATAGTTCTAGCCGACCTGTGACAATGAGAGTGTCACAGGTCGGCTCAGTAGATCGGGAAGTGAGCGAACACATACCGGCGTTCGCTCACTTCTCGATCCTGTCACGGCTCTCTGCCGTGACAGGGGAGGGGCTGGATTCCCCCCTCCCCGTTCCGATCCTCCAGCGCTGACAGGCGGAACGGACGGGGGTAGGGGGCAGGTACAGCTGGCTCTGCCTCTAGATAGGCAGAGCCAGCTGTCACTCATGCAGCTGGGCGGATCCAGACATAATTGTCGGGATTCACTTCAGCTGCGGCGTCTCAGTATACCGCAAGCTGTAGCTTGCGGTATACTGCGGCGTCTCAGTATACCGCGAGCCGTAGCTCGCGGTAAACTGAGCTTAGGGTGACGGGAGGATGCTAGTTTGTGTCATCCCGTTACCCAAAGGAGAACTATGGGGAAAAGCCCTAACCCCATAGTTCTCCTTTAAGTAACGTACAAAATACAAAGGCAGGAGGGAGTATTGGACAGGGTGGTGGGGTTAGCAGTGAAAGTAACATTTATACACCTTAGTGCACAGCACCTCCTATGAATCATTCCATCTCCTTTATTTCGAAGCACAACAGTACCCCCTATGAGGCATTTTGAACAGATAGGTGAAACCCCATAGTAACTTACCACTAAACGAGTGGGATATTTAATGAAATTTGATGCTTTTCTGTATAGTGCTGGCATGCTGTAGGAGCATGTGAGTTGATTATATGTGATGCTTTTAAGCTTTTATTACATTGTAAGTTTGACACTATTGGCGTTTTATTCACATTGTAATGAGAATGATATATGGTGGTGACAACTCCTAGAAGTTTTTTTTTTTTTTATTTTATTGAAAAGATTGTGCATATGATCATGTAGAATCTGCTATGGAACCCATGAATGTGGGTTTTTTTCAGTATGAGATTGTGTGTGCACGGAAGCTGGATTATTTGAGAATAAAATACAAAAAAATGTTTCTGAAAAGTGAACTCTTCACTGCAATATTTAGAGATAGGGCTATTGTTCATGGATTTACTTTGTGCATTATGTAAGATTATATTATTAAGACATTACAGCAGATAATGTAATTTCCTTAAACAGCGTTCTTCAGTTGCATTGTAAGGAAACTTGTCATCACCAAAAGATAATTAAACTACAACAGAGGTGTATTACAAGCATCTGCCGCCAACAATCTGTAATACAAATCTGTTTTATCTTAGAAAACTAGGATTTGTCCCATACCATCCCGTCTGCTGAATGTCACTCTTGATCAGAGGGATCATTAGCGATGTGTTAAAGGCAGGAGTGGGCAGACAGTTTCCATGGAAATGATCAATACACTCGGTTTTCACTGCTCCATCATGCAAACCACATGCAAAGCTGAAGCAAAACATGTGCTTTACAAAGCCAAAATGTGTTTTTAAACCTGGAAATAGGTACCTAAATGTATTTGATAAAGTTGACTTCATAAGCAGTTCATTTATCTCTGTTCCTCTGTTCAGGATTTGTTGTCATTTGAATTGCTGGATATAAATATTGTCCAAGAACTGGAGCGTGTTCCTCACAATACACCTGTAGGTGAGTCTCTACAAACTGTCAACTTACTCTGTAAGTATGTGAATTGTAACAGTTTAACTTTTTTTTCATGGGATATACCTTAATAGTATGTTTCTCTGTAGATATGACACCCTGTATGTCTCCTCTGCCACATGATGGACCTTTAATTGAGAAGCCAGGATTGGGCCAAATAAAAGAGGAGAGTGATGGTGCTGGTGAGTAAGTCATTAAGATATCATTTGCAGTTTACATGATTTATAAACCTTGATGCATGATCCTTTCAAGGACCTGTTATCAGCCACGAAGAGTTGTGCCAGAACTAATATGCCAATAATCTGCTTATGTATGGGCACATGACTAATTCACCTTTTTGTTACCTGGGGGTAAAATAATTCTAAAGAATAACCATATCCACCTTTTTAAATGTGGCTATTGCATGCCAGGTTTAGCATAGGTACCGAAAATTCAGAATGTTCCGATGTTGTTGTACAGTATGTGTAATAATCTAAGTTGGTTAAAGTTAAGGGGTTTCGCTTTGTATTTTACTGCTCAATTGGTATAGAGTCAAATAAAGGTGTTGTGTTTAAACACTTGGTTAGCCCAGGGCTTAACAATTCCAGGTCAATGGGGTGCAACTGTGACTTTCCTTATGGGCTGCTTGCTGTGGGAAGAGACTAAAACTAATGCAGGCACATCTCTCCATTAGAGTCTCCGAGGGATATAAGAAGCTGATGGTTTACTGAAATATCAGTTCTGGGTTTGGGGTGGAGTTAACCCTAAACTTACAGACCCTTTTGTTTTAAATTTGCATAGGAGGTCAACTAAGAAGGTACCTTTAAGTGGAATACTTAGACATTTGGTTAAACTAATACTTTTGTCAGCGCTCCATGTTAACAGGACCAATTTAATAAAAAGTGAGAATGTTTAGCCCGCCAATTTTATCTAAAGTAATTTTTTTATTTAAATGCCCATTTCTTTTTTGTCCATTGAGAGACAGCCCCTCCATATAACCCCTCCTCTATCCAGCACGTATGAGTATTTAGCTAGTGGCAATGGTCATCTTTTCTTCAGTTCTGCTGAGAAAAATCTAACCAAATTTTGCTTGCCTTTTTTCTTTTTTATTGCATTCTTCTTCAATATTGCTCACTATATCACTGCTTGAGCTGGTGTCTATATAGCAACTATCAAGATCTGCATTTCCTGTGGACCCCACTGCACTGGACATTGCAGGGCTAGCCTGAACTTTGACCTTTGGGCCATGGGCTCTGCATTGTGGCAGTTTCTAGACCTGCGTATTCTGTGTTAATTACAGAGCACTTTCCACGTCCAGGCACAGGTTTGAACCTGTCTCTGGAGATTCACTTTGTGAGTAAGGCTGGGCCGGACTAAAACATCGGGAGCTACCTAAATATTTGCACCGCTGAGTGCCTTTCTAATTTCCCAATACATCCACTTTTACCGCAGAAATGGGTAACTCTGAGACATGGATTTCTTTAATCTGCTAGGTTAATTGTTGCACATGTGTGCTCTGTACTCTTTCCTGCCAGTCACCATAGAGTGAGCACCATCCCGGTGCTACTCCTGCTTTTAAAAGCACCAGAGAGAGCTCCTGTCTGCTCCTACTGCTTGCCTACAGTGACCTGGTTACCTTCTTCTGGCCCTCATCAGCACCAGCTGCCTGGATTTGTAAGTACCTGAGGCCTTGAAAAATGGATTGTCCCCAAATTATAGAAATCCCTAGTTCGGAGCTGTGTCAGTAAACAGGTAAAAAGATATATAATTTATCAAATTGAATATTTAATCGTAGAAAAAACTTTAACAATACATCCACAACAAAACATTTAAAAACAATTAAAAAACTTCCCTTGGATAAACAGTGGTTAAAGAATCATGGATGATCTGCAGACCAACTGATGTGGCATGAAAGATTAGAGCAGATACATACAATGTAATTCATGTACGGATACAAAGTATTCCAAGTTACTCACAGCTCATGTAGCTCAGGGAGCTCTGGGAGAGACAGGCCTGCTAGAGTCCCACAGCGCTGAATGATTTAATTTGCTTCAATAAGCGTATCCAGTAGTAGTAGTTAGGATCCAGAGATAGGGATATGTTAATAGGGCTGAAAGATTGAAGCGCCCATCCCTTTTTTCCCTTGCTTGGGACTCTCACTAGCCCTCGGGCTTGAATTTCAAATTTGAGAGCTATCCCAAAAGCACTTCCATATATGTGTGTGCGGCCGCACAGTAACAAAGCTGAAAGGTAGATGCAGGTGCAGGAGTCTCGACCGTGAGAAGTTTCCAGGTGCCGTATTGGATCCACAGGCTGTGTAAATAGCGCAAACTGTCGTCCGGTCGTTTTTTCTCTCAATCTCTGCTGGGTTGATGTGACATCCGATGCAGCTAGACTCAGACCATATCCCAGCTGGCTGCGCTCCGCCTCCGCACTTAGAAGCCCAGCTTCTGCTTCTGCCGAGACTAATGTGCGGGATGAGCTTTGGTGAGTGTCCAGGAAAGTTGTAAGCACACGTTACCCTGACGCGTTTCCTCCCCACACAGGGGCTTCCTCAGAGGGGCGTGTGCTTTGAGTCTTGCATGGATGCATTAAATAGCCGATTAATTAGCTCATTAATCGGCTATTTAATGCATCCATGCAAGACTCAAAGCACACGCCCCTCTGAGGAAGCCCCTGTGTGGGGAGGAAACGCGTCAAGGTAACGTGTGCTAACAACTTCCCTTGACACTCACCAAAGCTCACTCACCAAAGATATATAAATTATATATCTTTTTACCTGTTTACTGACACAGCTCCGAACTAGGGATTTCTATAATTTGAGGACAATCCATTTTTCGAATAGTTTTGTTGAAACCCCGGGGACTGGTATACTATATATTAATATTGCTTTGGCGTAACTCCATTATGTTCCCTTTTCTTTTCTGCATACCTGAGGCCTTGCTAGCAGCATGCTTGAAAGCCAAGCCATGGGTGGAGTGCAAGCTGTCTGACCCCGCTGCTTAACAATGACCGTACGGATTGAAAGGGGACCAAGTGCATTGTGCACTAGATCCCCGGAGGGGGTTAAAAATGATACTTCTTCTTTAAGCCTTCTTGATTGGACAAGTGAGGATGGAGTAACTCCCGTACATGCAACTTCATCCCAGTAGAAAATCATGCCAGGACAGTACACTAAAATGCACATGTGTGGCTCAGTGTATACTTAGAAAAAAAATCTTGACTGCCGGGGAGAAACATTTATGGCCGAATCTCTTAAGTCATAAAAAATCTACCTTTCAGCATTTTTTAAAATCACTTCAGTTCTTTTTTTTTAAGATAACCAGTCAGCGTGAGTTTATCTTCTGTATTACCTTACAAAAATATATTTACCCAAACAGTGAAAAAGTCCAAGGAAGATGTGGAGGGTAGCACCACTCAGGAAGAAGCAGAAGAGGACATCAGTGGGACTCAGTTTGTATGTGAAACGGTTATGAGGAGTTTGACTCTAGACGCAGCTCCAGACTACAATCCACCTCAAAGGAAGAATTCTCCTCCTAGTGAGTAAAATCATTCTATTTGTAGTAAACCACTATCACTGCGTGAAAGAATAAGTAAATCAATCCTTGCTCAAAGATTGCACAGCCAGTTTATAAGTTAAAACCATTTTTGATTAAGATAAAACATCAAGTTGTTCACATAGTGTGTATGTATGTATGTATGTATGTATATATCGTATACATAACAATAAGAACAAATACAAATCCTATTACATTTCTTTTATATCATTTCTACTTTTAATTTCTTTGCTAATTTTATTTCTGGTATAAAAGCACTCGGTGAACACAGTAAGGAGCTTATTTATAAAAGTGCGGTTTTTACTCGCCTCACTCTGTTAGTCTCTGCAAGGTTACTCCATACCACATTTTTCAGCAACCTTATAAAATACCTAGGAGATTAGAAAGAGATTTTGCGGCGCTAAATCCCCCTCTGTATTTATAACTAAATGAATCAAGTGACTTTCATATACTGTGAACAATACAAACTTCAAATATTTTATTTTTATTTATTTTTTTAATTGTATTTATATATATTTTAATTTTTTTTATGAA